GGGGAGAAAAGTGCAACAATGAATGAATGGAATTCTGAAATCTCTGTAGATGTTCATTGAAATAAAAAAATTAAAATAATAATAAAAACAAACAAACAAAAGTTTACGCATTCATCATCTAACCAAAAAAAACTGGTGTTTTAAATCCATCCAGAGGCATCTTAGAAGAGAGGCTGATGATATGCTTCCTAAAAAATGTAGCCATTGAAAACACTGCGGAGTGCAGGTCTACTCAGATACACATGGGGTCATCATGAAGCCACAGGGCGCTGCGCTCCTAACCCAAAGGCTGCGCTTCTCTGGCAGTTCAAATCCACCAGCGGCTCCACAGGATAGGCAGTCTCCTCCTGTGCACGTTATAGGCTCGGAAACCCACTGGAGCATCAGCTATGAGTTGGTTCTGACATCATGCCAATGAGTTTGTCTTATAGGCAAAGGGCATGTCTAACTAGGTAGTAATCATTTGACATCTTCACTTATTAGGAGCCCATCTCTGCATTATTCTATGTGATTGGTTTAAATTTCCCAACAGAAGACACATTAGTAATGGCAGCCAACTTCACTGCAGGTCATTCTGGCAGTCTGCCTTGAGCCCTCAGGCCTCCTCTAATTTGTGAATGAATTAACATATGGCTGGATAAGAAAGCTTGGCTCTAAAGACTGCAAATCCATTACCATCAAGACCATCTACTCAAGCAATATGGAATGGAAGCAATGCCCCTCCCTCTGGGCAACCCCTTCCTACACGCGGGGGGGGGGGGTGGAGCAGGAAGAGCTGGAGGTGTGGGTGTGTGTTGATGTTCCCCATCTCCTGCTCAAATACCTGTCCTTTCAGCTGCTCTGAAAGTACAAACACTTTTCCATTCTCTTGAACCTTTTTTTTTTTTAATGGAGGTGGATAGGGTCCCCTTATAGGTCCCCTGGGTGATGCAAAAAGTTAGAACTCAGCAACTAACCAAAAGACTGGTATTTCCCTTCCATCCAGATGCATCTTGTAAGAAAGGCCTGATGATGTGCTTCCAAACACCGAGCCATTGAAGACCCTGTGGAGAGTGGTTCTACTCGACTCACGTGGGGTTGTCATGACTCAATGGATTGCATGGCAACTAGGTGAGTCTTAGGGAAAGGTAAAGTCTTAGTGTCAGCTCCTCTCTACCTCTGAACGGGAGTGAATTTGAACAGTCAGCAAATACCCCCAAGTGATTGGACAGCATTATGCTCTCCAATGAGAAGAGAGGCTAAGTGAACTTAATCCCATAAGGACAAATAGTGTATAAAAATCATTATTGTAGAACATGTATGTGGATCTGGGGAGGGGGGAGCAGAGAGGTGAGGATGGACAGGGGCAAGGGGAGACTAATCATAGGGCCCCCCAATTTGATAGGTGGAGGGAGGGGTGGGTAAAGGAAATGGGAAAGATACAATGTGAAAAACAATGCGTACGAACTTTGTAAGTAAACCAGCATAAAATAAAGATTTTTTTTTTTTTAAAACCCCACAGTCCTCCAGTCTGCCCTCTCCTCTGGCCACATACCCAGTTTCCCATCTAGTCTACCTTCTCAGTATCTCTCTAGGCCTCAAATCCAAGCAGCCACACAGTACAATTTCTGATGCACAGGGACTAGGTCCTATTTCTTAAACAGATTCCCAGGGAAACAAACCAAAAAGGAAAACATGAAAAAACTAGGGCATGATGGAATTTAGAACCCTGTGAGAGTAATTTTATTTTTAAAAAATTAAACAAACATGTGGTTTGTGGCATCTATTTCATTAAATGGGAAATACATTAATTTATTTCCCTCTTTTTCATTTACTTAAAAAAAAGTGCGTAGGAGAACTTACCATGGCCAAGCGTTTTATGGTTCTTTGTAAATTACCTTGGCATCTGGTTTTTCTAATAATCTCATGAGATAGCTAAGTCATATCTTACTATACTCACATTACAGATTAAAAGCCTGAAACACATAAAAATTAAATAACTTATTCAAGCTTGGCTTTAAATCTTTTATCAGGATTAGCCACTTATGTAATCTGGGAAGGAGCGAATGGCGGTTGAACTGGACTAGACCCTCAGTTCCTATCTCTGCAAATCTTCCTTCCCAGACCTGCTAATTGATTAAGCCATTTTTATTTATGGAACAGGACGATATCTGCCTTCACTGTAATTACTCTTATCCAGGCATTAATAGTGGCTTCCTTCTACAGCTCTTTACACAAAGATATCAATGTTCAACAAATACTGTTCCCGTGCAAGGACTTGGAGCACTCACATTCCTTGGTGTTGGGAGGGGCCAGGAGGCAGGAGTAGCAGACCATACCATAGATGTTCCTGGGTCTATTTTCCAACATGTAGTAGCTACAAGGAGGACAAGACAAGACAGAACAGAGCACAGGTGAGCAGGGTACCACCACAGGCAACTGAAGAGGCCCTATTTACTGACCGAGATAACATCAGGACCATTTGGCATGTCCTACCATCAAAGCATGTAGTCAGACATGAAACACACACGGTGAGGTTGGGAGACCTGCCAAGCCGGGAGCCCGTTGGACCACAGAGTTTTCATATGGGCTTTCAACTTGTCTTGAAATGGTATTTTCTTTTTCTAATATCAGATCAATTTGAGCCTTTCTGTTTAATCTCCTCCATCTTTTGGTTCCCTCCACTGAGATTTGTTTAGTCTGTAGCTTTCATAATCATCTTCATCAATATCATCCGCCTCTGAGTGTCCACCAGGCACAGGCTCTGTTCAGTTCTCTGGGAGATTCGCCAAGCAGGGACACACATTCCCTTGGAGGAGAAAGACCCTAGTAAGCACTCTGAGCCAGGCGTGTTGTCAGTGTGTCCGTGTGTCCCTGGAACACTCAGAACTCCCACCCACTGGAACGTTTACTGACCAAAGGCCATGGCAGTGAGGCTGCTGTAGAAAGACAGCCGTAATAGTCACAGAGGTCAGTGCAGACAGCTTTACACATGGCCTGAAATACTACAAATTTGTAATGGAAATCTACGTCCTTTCTCCTCAGGAAGTACTTGACCAGAGACACCTATACAACTGTTGGAGCTCAGATTGGGGACCAACTAATGCTTAGAGAAAAGGATAAATTATTCTCAGTTGAAAAATGTTGAATTTCTTTACCCTGGAATGACGCTCTCTCTATTCTGTCTTTCAAGTCTCCTGAGGTCAACAGGCCAGCTCAAGGGCCCAGGTTTCACCTCTCAGAATGACTTACTTGTCTCTGTGAGTCTGTGTTCTCTGTGAGCCCCACATCCTGACTGTGATTCCGAGTCTTTGCTGCCGTCTCTGTCCTCTCTCTTCAGTTCACAACATGGGCTCCTTTCTGATTCAGACTTGGGTGCTTATCTTGGCTTGTGTCAGCTCTCCACAAACAGGCATTCCACAGTGGTCACAAATGCCATTTATCACACAGAGAAAAATCAATCAAATAAAGAGAGTTGGTGCCAACATTTTCCTTTATTAAAATTCAAGAAATGAGGTGGGGGGGCATACAGAATCTCTCTCTGCTATTGTGTTTCCCCCTGTGCTTGTTTTTCAATCTCTTTTTTACTGGTCATGTACAACCCAGTCACCTGACCCATAGCAGAGAGTCACCAGTAGTTTGAGTTGCAGTGCTTGGGTGGGGGGCAAAGGGGGTATTCCTGGCCTCCAGCCTTTAAGAGTTTGAATCATTACTAGTGTATGATGTCACACATTAGCATGTATAATAGTACATGCCTGCTCTTCCTCAAAGCCTCTTTATCCTCAGATCCCTGTGTATCTTGTAAACATTAATTAACCAATCTCAAAACACCCCTCAGAGAAGCCAAAACAGCTAGTTTTGTAGTTAGGCCTTCTGGACAAAGATCCTATCAAATCTATCCAGAAGTCATTTATTTGCTTGTAGAAAAGGAAGCAATATTATGTCAAGTGGTAGATCTGCTGTCCCAGCAGAAATTCATATGTAAATAGGCCAGGTCAATGCCCATGTGGGGGCTTTTCATATCCAGATCAGATGTCATCAGTTATGGGTCATATTTCATGCCTGAGCCACTCCTCTCTACTTCCGTCTTCACTGCACTCTATCTTATGTATTCTAATTTTCTGTTCTCCTTTCATTGTGAGGTCCTCATAGACAAGACTTGTACATAACTAGATTTCTAGTGCCTAGAATTGAGGATTAGCCTTCCCAAGGGCTGCCAGAAGAGCAAATCTCTCTTGCAGAAGTGCAACCAGGGTGCTCCTTACAAGCAAGGAGGGTGAAACTTTGTCTCACATACTTTGGGCATCTTGTCAGGAGGGACAAAGCCTTGGAAAAAGATATCATGCTGGCAAAAGTAGAGAGTAAACAAAAGAGAGGAAGATCCTCAAGGAGTTAGGTTGACAGAATGACTGCAACAATGAACTTGAGTGTGCCAGAGATCCTGCAGATGGCACAGGCCAGGGCAAGGTTTTGAGGTATTGTTCATGGGATCGCTGTGAGTCACAGCACCTAACAAAAACCATACTGAGGAATGAGTTTCTGAGTGGCACAAATGGTTAAATGCTTGACTACGGGCCAAAAGGTTGATGGCTCAAAACCATCCAGAGTTGCTTTGGAAGACAAGCCTAGCAACTGACTTCCTAAAGATCGCAATCTAGGAAGTCCTATGGAGTGGTTCTATATGCAGTCCTGGATTTGCAGTTCTGTTATATTTTGATGTTTTAAGTTGGTTCTGATGCAAACTGAGCATCTCTTCTTTTTTGCATTGCTATTGCTTTTAATTATCAATATCTTTATAAATCTTATCTTTATTTGTCTTTGGGGGTTAGAAGGACTGCATATAAATGTAAAGATAACATTAGCAAATCACGTGGTACAACACTGCATGTAGTATATATTATTAATAATAAGACGGAGGAAAAAGAGGGGGGAAATCAATCCCATAAAACAGTCTTAAGTGCAGTTTGTCGCAACTCAACTTTGTAATAAGATACCTGTTTGTACTTAAGATCATGTTTTGGTTCCTGTGGGCTAGTTTAAGTTTCTTCATTTTCAATTTGAACACAATCTTGCTTGTTGAAAGTGCAGAGGACTTGAACCGCTTGCTGCAGAAGATCAAGGACCACGGCCTTTGGTATGGATTACATCTCTATATCAAGAAGACAAAGATCCTCACCGTGGGACCTTTGATAGGCACCATGATGATAGATGGAGAAAGGATTGAAGCTGTCAATGTTTTAATCTTGCGTGGACCAACAATCACTGTCCTTGGCACTATCAGGCAGGAGATGAAGAGATGTATTGCATTAGGAAGGTCAGCTAGCAGGGATTTCTTTGAAATATATGAGAGCAATGATGTTAACATGAAGAGGTGTGGCTGGTTCAGGTCATAGTCTTTTCAATCATCTGTTATGCATCTGAGAGCTGGACAATGAACAAGGATGGCAGAAGAAGAATTGATGCCTTTGAGTCGTGGTGCTAGAGAAGAGGAGGGATTATTCCATGATTTGTCTCAAGAACAAACAGATATGTCTTGGAGAAAGTGCTCCTTGGAGGCAAAGATGACAAAGCTCATACTTTGAACATGTTGCTAAAAGTGTATAATCTTCAGAAAGGGATATCATGGAAATATGGAGGGTCAGTGAAAGGTAGAAAGACTGCCAATGAAATGGCCAGGCACAGTGATTGCAGCAATGGTACAGGATAGGACAGAGTATAGTTTTGTTGTTCACAGGGTTGCTATGAGTCAGTCATATTTGACCTGAAGGCATCTAACAATAACAATAACCTGCTTGAGATAGACTTTGGGAACCTAGTCCAATTAGGGAGCAGGGAGAGGTCTGGATGTCAAGAAATTTTCAAGGTTTCCAAGGACACCATAGTTAGTCTTCATCCCAGGATTATCCCATCAGACAATTTATAAAGTTTTGTGATTGATTTGTTGAGTCTGGGGACTTGACATCCACAACGGATCAGGCTATCTTACAAACATGAGTGTGCACACACAGTTCCTTCTGCTGGGAGGGCGAACCCTTCATCCTTCAGACATCCGTCCTATTATCATGTCATCATTGTACATCTTCTTATGTCATGAGTTCCTAAAACTTCTGGTTTACATTCTCTCCCTGGAAGGTTGGGTTTTTTGAAAGCAGACTCTACCTTTCACTCATATTTTCCACACTCATCTCTGAGGACACAAACTGATTTTCAACTGGTGTTTTATAAATGTTGGCTGAGAAGAAAAATGAATAGCATATTCCTTAACAGTATCTTGCTGAGAATTCAAGGAAATTTTTTTCAGATTTGCAATATCACATTTACGTATATATATATTTTCCCTCCAATGACCTCACTGTACATCGTACATTGGTTCTGATTTAAGCTGAACACTGTTTTCCCCTCTAGTTTCATCTGGAATAAGGATAGACGTCTCCTCTTGTACAATTTATAGCCTCAGACACCCAATGGAGGGTCAGCTATGAGTTGCTTCTGATTCAACAGAAATGAGTGATCTTTCATGATTATTTTCTTGTATTATCACTATCTTTATAAATCTAATCTTTATTTTTGGGGGAAGAGTGCAAAATTTTACATATAAGCTTGAAGATAATGGTAACATAAGCAAATTACGTGCTGCAACACTTTACACAGCATCTATTACTTACTATTTAAAACAAATAAACAATGGGATGGCTGTAGGTGCAGTTCACGGTAAGTGGGATGTGCTATAAGTCAGGTAATGCTTGTATTCTGCACCGACAGGATCACCATGAGCTTGAATTGACTTGATGGCAACTAACAGAATAAGAGTGCTAAGGAAGGAAGGGTCTTGGTCAGTAGTCAATGGCTGGATAAATAAAAGAATGACATCGAGTTTTCTCCCATATGGATGTGAAGAGTCCCTGAGGGGCATATTGTACACCTTTCGTTTCTTTAAACACAAAGCTACAGCCATGACCATCCTGTTTTCTGGTTGTGTCGAGGCAGCGCTGTCTTAGATGCACATCTAAGCTACAATGGTGGTGGGTGCAAACAATTTTGGCTTTAGAAATGGGTGGCTACTCATGTCCTCAACATCTGACTAATTTCTAGGGCTATCACATTTTGTGCACCCACATAGGCCTTGTGAGGGATCTCAGTTTGACTTTTCTTCATGTAAAGGTACCAGATTGCATTCATCTAGATAATGCATATATATATATATATTTTTTTTTTTAATCCTGTCAGAGCTCTAAATAGACAAGTGGCTGCACTCTCTCTTATCTCCATGAAGTTGGAACTGAACCATAGCAGACCCTTTAGTGGGTTTTCAGAGGTTGTAAATTGCCCTGAAGGAAATTGTCCATCTTTCTTCCACAGAGCAGCTGGAGGATTTGAACTTCTGTTTCAAAGTTGGCAGTGCAACTCCTTACCCACTAGGCCATGAGAGCTCCCTTCGTGAGAAGTCAATAGGTACAGGGTTTTTACCCCAAGAACCCACCCCCTAGGGGTTCTACACTAAGTCTGTTGAAAATGTGCTTTTCATTGACACCATCAGATGCTCACTTTTTCCTCTAAAATAAAATGTTGACATGTAAAACCAACCACTGTTGTTCTCCTCCCCACCTCCTCAGCCATCCCAGTAAGCCTCTTATTTGAAGGGACTGGGCAGGGCACCCAGCCAGCAGAAGCTTCTCCAATGGGGAAGCTGATGCCCTGGAGGAGGTTATGAAATCAAGCCTCGTCTGTCTTCCTCCTCTCATGTTTTTGTTCCCTGGTCCTCCCACGCAGCCCTTTCTCAACAGGAAAGCCCCCACGTACTGCTCATTGTTCAGAGAGGTGTCTCAGCCACATACTGATACACAGCGCGGCCTGCAGAGAATAAGGCAAGGGTGCCTGCCAAACCACAAAGGTGGAGAGACGGCCAAAGAAACCAAACTCAAGGCGTTACAAAGACAAATACAAGGTAGTCTGTATCCGCAGCCTGATAACCGCACGGATTCAGGAAAGAAAACAGCCTTTCACTGAGCTAATAATGCCAACTTGCCAAAATTCCTTGTAATCCTCTTCTGTGACACAGCATGAGAGAGGCATTTTGTTCTCCAAACCCAGAGCATGTAATCGGAAGCAGGACGCCTTCAGGGTGCTCCCCTGATAAAGCATTGAAAGGAAGTTCACCCAAGTGGGTTGCATTAGCCAGTAAGCAAAGTTGGGCAACAGGAGGTAAAAAAGTTTGCCTTTTATTCTTGTGACCTTGGGCTGCTTCTTGTTGCTGTTTGTCATGGAGTCAGAACCACCGCACAGCTGACCCTTCAGCGGGTTGTCAGAGGTAGTGAATTGCACAGGAAGAGACTGCCCACGTAGGAGTAATTTTTGAAAGTCATTTATTGACACATGGATCCTTAGTGAGTATTCCCGTCCGTGGAGCAGCATGGACGCACTGAGATGCATGTAGAGATGTGCCTCCCGGCACACGACTTTTCCTGCAGATACTGGATGTTTTGGGCCTTGTGTTGTCTGGTCCGAGTTGTGAAGATAAAGAGCAGGCTGAGCCGGTTGCTGTTCTCACAGAAAGGGGAGGGGGACATAATTAGGGTTTTAGAGGTGGAAAGAGCCTTTCCAATGTGCTGGCTTTCCAACCAATGTTACAGCATTGCTGACAGAGGTCATTCACTTATATTTGATATCTTCTAGAGAAAGAGAGCTAGCCACAACTACATTGCTGAGGTTGAGTGAGTTTAGTATGTAGACACTTCTGAGTAGATGCTTTAGGGTCAACACATCACCTGTGTTTTTATAGAACTAGCTTTTCTGATGGCCAGAAAAGCTTTCGACGTTGCAGGAGGATTTGCTGAATTAATCCTAGGTCTTATTTTCCCAGGGCCCCTGAATGATGCAATGGTGTTCAGCTGCTAACAGAGAAGTTGGAGGGTGGGGCTCATCCAGAAGTGCCTCAGAAGAAAAGCCCAATGATCTACATCTGAAAAATCAGTCCCTGAAAACCCCACAGGCGACAATATTACCCTCAACTCATGGCGTCACAATTTGTTGGAATCAAATCAATATCTCTAACTTGAGTTTCATGCTTTATCTCTCTATGGGTTAGATACCTTGACTGGATTTCACACTCATAAAACTTTTTGCTGTTAAGTTAATTTCAAATCATAGCTTTGTCCTTTCTGATGAGAAATTCTCTGTGGATCCACATAAAAATGAAGTAGGCTACTCAATGCACATATCCACTGTACATTTTTAATCATCCAGAGCTATAACAAAGCTGAATGTCACAGAATACTGATGTGATCCATTGATGAGTCTGAATAGGGGATGAACTAGGAACTGGAATATGATCAAGGAGCACCATTTTCTACTCACCACTCTCTGTATTCTACAAAGCTGCCTCATTGAGCGAGTCTATCTGCACCACTGGTCTCCATTATAATCAATGCCTAGATGACCGCCACCTCCTTAACTTCCCCTGGATCTCTACCTTGAGTTTCATGCTTTATCTCTCTCTGTGTTAGATACTTTGCCTGGATTTCACACTCATTAAGATTTGCTGTTCTGATTTGATTTCAAATCATAGCAAGTCTGTAGGCCAGAGTGGTACAATCCCACAGGGCTTCCGAAGCTGGTATCATCATGCAAACAGACTGCTATATCACCGCCCCCTCAGCCTCAACGGAGAGGTTGATGGTTTTGAACTGTCAACCTTTCAATTAGCTGTGAGTGTTTAATTGTTGTACCACTAGCATGCCCCCTCCCACTTCATCCAATCTGTAACTTCAGTCAGAGTCATCCTCCAACTAGCTCTTAAATTCTTCCACTCTCTTCAACTTCCAATGCCTCCACCTTTGCTGAAGTTCTTATTACCTCCCATAGATATGGTACCAATTTCACTCCTGGTTCCTTGGTTTCAGTTCTCTTGAGCTAATAATACCCAATGTTCCTATATTTTCTTCCTACCCTCAATTTTATCTAGTGATATAGCATTTGCATAAGTACACTGTAAAGTGTAATACGCTCTTCAAGACTCTGCCGGCTCTCCACCCTCCCCAGCTATTTTTGACTTCCATTTCTAGCTGTAGCCTTTGGCAAGCATTATGCGTTGTGGCCACTAGAGGCGGGTAGCAATGGCAACGAGAGTCATGGCTTAGCTGTCATGGCTTAGCTGTCATGGGTGTCTTTCAGGTTTCAAGCCTGAATTTTCACTTATTGATACAGAACAGAACTGACGTGGAATTACTGGCATTTTATGGCTCGAAATTCGTATTACTAGATTTCCCCCCTTGGTTCTTCCAGAATAACAACAATACTAAAAGTAATTTTTGTCCAGAATTTGAGTTTTATCTTTTTTTGTGCTTTTCCTTTATTTTTGTTTTAGTTCTGCTGCCCTAGTCTGAAAGGGGTTACGCTGCGGATCAAAGCTGCAACAGTTCCTCCAGGGAAAAAATGAGCTAACTCTTCCTGGCCAATGTACAGCCTTAGAAACCCAGTGGAGGATTAGTTCTGAGTTGGTTCTGACTTGATGGCAATGTAGTGTTCTTTTTCCTCCAAGGCATGTGTTCTTTCAAGTTTTTAAAGAATTTGTTTGTTTGGGTGGTGATAAGTTACTATCATTAATGTCCTTTTATGGGATAAGGGCATTTGGATGCGTTGCCTGTCCTACTCCTTGGTGACAGGATTAAGGCATCCTCGAACCCATGACTCTGGCGGTGTGAATCCCTCTCTGTTGAGCTTTCCCTCAAAACTCAAACTCATTGCTGTCAAAGTGTCACTGACTCATAGTTGACCTTCTAGTGGGTTGTCAGAGGCTGTAAATCAAATGGGAGGAAACTGCCCATCTTTCCCCCCACAGAACAGCTGGTGGATTTGAACTGATTATCTTTGGGTCGGCAGTGCAATTCCTTACCCACTAAGCCTTCAGAGCCCCATAAATGCCTGGAGTTATACCACATGGCAGGCCTGCAGGTGCCCAAGAGGCTGGGTTCCCCAGGAGCCTCATAAAATGCCCTTCAAAGCTCTCTGCAGCAAAGCAGTATCCTGTGCTTACCCAGGGAGACAAGGCCCACACTCAGCGTCATTCTCCGTGTCCCCCGGCGTCAGCACGGTGGCCCGGAAGAAGCCCTCACAGTCTTTGTGGCGCCTGCATATCTGGTAGCCTCCTTTGGAAAACTTCTCGGCTGGGCACGGGACACAGTCATAATCTTCATCTTTAGTGCCGTAGCCACAGGACTAAGAGGAAGCAAAGGACACAAGGATGCATGTGACTGTAGTTACATAATCCTCAGCAATTCAGGCATGTGGCTCCCAGGCCAAGGTACACAGTCTATATCCAAAAGCTCCCAGGCATCTTGCTTATATGCAGATTCAGATTCATTATGATTCTGGGGTACTGAACTGCAAATCCTCAAGGGTAAACTGGAATAAACCAACTTTGAAGCCCAGCTTTTAATGGTTGATTTTTTTCAGGACTACATCACCAGGTCTTTCCTTTAAGGCACCTCTGGGAGAGTTTAAACCTCTAACCTTCTGATGAGCAGTTGCAAATGTTAACAATTTGTGCCATCCAGTAACTCCCTTAGCTATCTGAAAGAACTCCAAATTGTGAAATCATGGAAACTTTTCTTAGTTCTTAAGACAACAGAAGGGAGCTCTGATACCTCAGTCCACAGCACGTGACCCCGCGGACCTGAAGGCTGGCTGCACATCTCTGGTGGTTCCATCAGTGGCCCTGAAGGAGAAACATGGACAGTCTCCTCCTATTACGATTACAGCTTTGGGAACCTGATGGAGGGATGCTATCAATGACCTGGAACTGACTGGATTACAGAAAATTTGAGTTGAGTAATACGGCATATATGCTTAGTCTTCCCCAAAGGAGATGAGAGATACAAACTCCGGAATAAAATATTCTATTCTTAGAGGACATTTCAGTTATGTTCTTATTCACATGATCTGAAATACAGCTAATCAAGTTAAGAAGCAATTGTCCTCTAAAAAGATCTCAAATAACCCAGAGATTTATTTACTAAGCTCCGCTGCTTCCCTCTGTTCCTGTGCTCGTAGCAGCTCAGATCCACGTCTAATGGCTGTAGAGGACCAGTTTCCTTTGGCTTGGTGAGCATACACAGGACAAGGTAAACTGAGGATGATGTTGCACTCAGAAGAAAGCATCTCCCTCCACCTTGCTACTTAGGTTCACTCAAGCCCAGGAGTTGTCCCGTGGCCTGTTTGGCTGGGCTCAGTGGGGTTCTTACCATGTAGGGCTCCTCCCCTGGCCCGCACTGCGGACACTCCTGGCACAGCCCGGTGGTCTGATTGTAGTACTCATTCTCCCCACAGTTGGAGTATTCTGCTCTGGCCGAGTACATCAGAGACACCTGCCGGAGAAAGAGGGTCATCTGTGAGATGGGTTGACACAGCTACGACAACAGTGGATTTCAGCACGGCAGAGATTGTGAGGTTGGCACAGAGCTGGGCGGTTCTAGTCTGTTGTACATGGGGTCTCTATGAGTGGGAGCCAAACTTGATGACCACAGACAACAACTCACCTCACTGACACTATAAAACATTCCCTCAAGGCCAGAGGCTAGTGAACTTCGAGACTGTTCATAGGAGTCTGGAGAACTCCACTCCTGCTTGGTAAGGTTAGTGTTTGGGGCTTAGCCTACAGTAGTTTTTATTTAGGAAGTAAGGGGAGCATCATCAACCTCTGCTTTCCACCATTGAGCGTCTCTCATGCATCTACCCGACCCAAATGGCATTCTTGCTGTCAGGAACTCCACCCCATCTTCAAGGTCTGCTTCCATCTCCTCTCCACCCAAGTTAGGGATTTAATTGTACCCTGTTGTTGAGTTGGAAGAGACTCTTAGCTGACCTTCCAGCAAGTTTCCCGAATCTAGAAATTGCATGGAAGGAGATTGCCTGTCTTTTTCCCAAAGGCCAGCTGGTGGATTCAGACTACCTGCCTTTGGGTTTCCAGAGGCACCTGCCATACATCCATCTCACAAATGACCCTCTTTCTGTGGCCGGTGTCTCTTTTAAGCTCCTCACCCACTAGGCCACCAGATCTCCCTCATTGTAGCATACCTTCCCACAAATATACAGGTGGATACAATCCCATTTGGGAATAGGGCTTTTCTGTTAGGTTAATGAGACTATAGAAGTCCAAGATTTTTAAGTAAATAACTTTTGAGATTAAAAGAAAGAGCAGATGAGATCCAGAAGCAAGGAAAGACAACTGGAGAAATACAGATGCCATGTGAAAATCACTAAGGAATTTAGGGACCAAGCTGGTGTGAACCCATGACCTTCTTCCAGTGTCATCCAGAAAGAAAGCGTCCCCTAGAGCCGGTGCTCTGAATCAGAACTTCAAGCCTCTTAGACGGAGAGAGAATCATTCCAGTTCACTAAAGCCGTCCACTTATCTTTCTATACTTGATCTTAGCCAAAAGGCTGAGAGTGGTATCTACTCATCTTACATTCTCTACAAATTATTCTCTCCCTCCAAGATCCCCTAAGCCAGAGTGATTCCTTCCAAGTCTGCAGGCATTTAAGCGGTGTGCTGCTGTCTTAACCTCTTTATCAGGAAGAGAGCCTGGTAAGGACCAGAAATGGGTCCTTTTCAACTATGTGTCCCACAAACGGCTTGATGCTCATAAAAAATTCATTGAGTTACTAAATGAAAAAAACTCTGATTGGTAAATGTGATTTTTTTATAAAAAGGGGGGGGAATCCCCTAAACTCATTGAACTGTGTGTAACTCAACACAAATGAGGATTTAGTGATGTTTCACTCCTTGACTGTATAATAAAAATAGCTACCATTTAATTGGGAGCTGGTAAGGAGTTGCACTGCCAACCCAAAGGCATGCTGTTTGAATCCACCAGCTGCTCCAGAAAGATGGGCAGGTTCTGCTGCAGGGCCAGCTGTGAGTTGGTTCTAATTCAGTGCAACAGAACAACAATAACAACAATTTAAATATATTTTAATTTGGGTTTGGGACTGTGTTCAGTGCTTTATAGGCATTCTTTCATTTAAGCCTCACAAAAACCCTGTGAGAAAGATGCTCTTGTTACTACTGTTCTCATTTTACAGTGGTGTAAATCAAGGTTCAGAAGACAAAGGAATTGCTCTACAGACAAGCAGCTAAATAGCAGGGCACAGAAGTCCAAGTGCTTTGCCACCATTTCAGTCAAGAGGCCCCTCCTTCTCCACAGCTGAAGACGGCTCATCGAGTTTACAAAGCTGATGTGGTGGGTTTGGTGTGTGTTCTGATACACTTACCACCAGGACAGGGAGCCATTGGGTCCGTTTACCGTCCCCTACGTGGGCCATCCTTTCCTGGTGATTCACCTGCAAAGACACACTTCATCAGCACCAGGGAGGCACCAGGAGGGACTGCAGGCTGCCCTTGTGGCCCACACCTGCCTCTCCTCTAGATCATGTGTGCTCCATGTGGGGTGGCCTTCAGCATCACCTTCCCCTCCTCTAAAAGCACACGGCAGAGCCCTGCTCTTCCAGGAATCAGCACCACGCCCTGAGATCCATGCCCAGTCCTGCTTCTCGCATTAGGAGACGGATGAACACCACTCCTGCACATCCCCCTCTCCAAAGCCTTGGGTCCAGCTGCCTTCAAGGACAAGGCGGGTCCCTCATAGGACTGATCTCCTGGATTTTATGTACCTTTATCCTACAGAGCAGGGAAACAAATACAGCCTGAAAGAAAAGGCAGATTTTAGGATGAATTCAGGTCCCACGCACCTTAGGCTGACTCCATGGCCCTCACCCAACATCACACCCATTCCTGGGTAAGAGCCTAAGAGGAGGTCCCTGGAGTGCATTGAAGGGCCTATTGTTAAGCCCTGGGGTTAATGACTAATTATTTCATGTGTGCAAAGAGCTTTGAAGAAGCCAGGCTTTACATAAGCTTTAAGTACCAAGCGTGCTATTTAGGCTTATCCTGATCTATGGGTTTCTTGTATAAAAGAGGTTCCAGTGCAAGAGGACTCTGGGAGATCCTGACAAGCATGAGTCTGATCAAGGCTTCTATTCACCTCCTTATTCCTTTGGCTCCTGCATAATTTTTTCAACTAGGAACTCTTCTCTATCAAAGTAATAAAGAAAATGTTGTGATCCAGCTGCTTAATGTCTCAAGTGAGACAATGGAATCCAGAGAAGCTAAGTGACCTGCCTAAGGTCACACAGCTGCTGGATGAACAAAGCTAACTCTAGCCTCAATTTCTGATGCTCCCTACTAAACGCTACACTCCCTGACTACCTCTAATGTGAAGGAGGAGGAGTTACTTTGGGAATGGGAGACTTGTGTTTCTAAAGAACAATGTCCTTACCTATCCCCTTGGGAGTGAGGGTAGTATCCTGGCTGTCCAGAGAGAGAGAACATGGTCAGATGGGTGCTTAGAATCCCCAGCTGCACCCTGCATCGCTGCTCACTTGCCTGCTGTCTTCTAAATGTAGATTTTGTATGGAGTCTCTCAGAAGCAAACACTAACACTGCCCAGAAAGTCCAATGAGCCGTGAAAAAAAGTCCAAGATCTTTAACTCTGAATCCTCTTGTCCTTAGTGAGGCACTGTTGGTTATGAAAACCAAAAACTCCCAAGAGCACCCACAAAATACTACAAAGGGAAGCTTAAAGTAGGAGACTGTGTTGAACAGGTTAGCCCTTCTTTTTCCCCCGTCCCTACTCCTCCACCCCAGGAGCTAAAGCTTGGCCAGATAACATCCTAAAGGTATGAGGGAGAGAAGCAGTCCAAAGATCATTTGTTAGAAATGAAAATGTTCAACTGAAGAAAGAGGGAAGGATGGTAAAGTCAGGAGTGGGCAAACAGATGGAAGCTGGGAGTAGGGACACCTCTGAGTAGAGAAGGTAGGAAGCTGGGTGGAAGATGAAACTCTGAGGGTAGAAAAACTCTTATTTTTTTTCTGAGTCTCTCAAGACTTACAGTCTTGTTCAGATAAGTTTTGTTTTTTTGGTTTTTTTTTTGAGAGAATACGTATTTGGGAGAAGCCCATAATACATAAATATGTAGAGAGAGATTGCTGTTATATCAAAACCAACTCAGAGCTGACCCTCCAGCGGATTTTCAGAGGTTATAAATCACAAGAGGGGAGACTGCTCACTGGGGACATTCCAGAGCTCTGTAGAGAGAGAGAAGTAAGAGACTGACCAAAGAGCTTCAAGTCTCAATGGCTCTCAGCTTTTGCGCGTTTCCCCCAAGTACACACAAGTCTAGTTCTCCCAGGGCCACGTGCTCTTGCTTCTCACTGTGAAGTAGCAAGCACCCCTGCTTTCCGTAAGAAGAGGTTTGACAAAATTCAGAAGCCTGAAGATAACATGCTTATTTACAATGGCAGCAAGCAAAACCCCATCAAACAGAAAATCAACGGAACATCGGCATTGTGGAATACCACGCAGGGGCCTCTTCGAAAATGAAGACGCCTGCCCTCCGTGGCTGGGTGAAGAAGCAAGCAGTGTACTGAGTCATACACAGAGTGGCTCTGTGTTTGTCGGTGCCAAGAAGCGGGTCTGGAATGGCATCCGCTAGACTTCCAACACAAATTAGCTGGCAGTGAGTGAAGTAGGGAGGGACCTGAAGGAGGAATATGGAAAATATTCACTTTCTATTTTCTGCTACTCCATATTATCGGAATGATTTAGAATAAGTGCATATTAATTTCATAAACAAGAAAAAAAGGAAATACATTTTCACTTTAGTGAGATAAGATGCCTCCTTGAAAGTTGTAAGAGCAGATTTGGGGGATGATTGAGTGGGTGGGGGAGTCCAGATGTTTAGGAAAGACATCCCGAGGGAGGGATGATCTTGGAGGAGATTGCATTTAAAGAGATTGGGAAACGCAGGAGCACCCTGGGGGCCCGGATCTTAACCCAGGCTGGTGCTGTTTGGCCCCGTTATTCACTCATTTGGTGAATGACACCAGGTGACATTTGGTGAAGGGCTACATTTATTCATCTCTTGGTGAGATGCAAGCACCACCTTTTCCCATTTTCTAGCATACAGCCTTACAATTCAGGGCTACATTAATGCTGACGTTTACCACTGAGAAACACTAAGTGGTATCAGGCAAGATGAAAGCTCCCAGCACCCCAGCTGTGAACTCGCTGGGTGTTTTCCTTCTAGCAAAGGGGCAAGCTGGGGCAGGCATGCGGGGAGGCAGAGGTGCCCAAGCAGAAGCCTCACTGAGAGGGAGGGGGAGGTGGAAGCAAAGGTAGGAAGAAAGCCTAGGACCCTTTCCCTGGGCTCCCAGTCCTTGGCCTTAGCCTCAAGTTAATGGGGTTAGCAGAGGTGGGTTTTTATTGAGTCTACCCGTGGGGCCAGAGGGTCTCCTCAAGAGAGCCTGTGCTTGGAACATTTCCAAGGAAAATATTAATGGTTTCTAGTTATAGTTGAGCACTGAAGGGCTTCCCCATGAATACCAAGAAGGGCTGGGTCAGCCTCACCTTTGAGTCAACCAGAAGCATTTGATGAGAGGCTCATAAAAAATGTTCCCAGGTAGGCCCAAAGAGACAGAAGAGAAAAACAAACAAATATATAAAGCAAAACAAAAAGTCTGCGGTTTTGCGTTTATTTGTATCATTATTACTCCCATTGTTATCCCAATTCCCCATGCAGAGCAGTGGGGTCAGACAGGGGACAAGAATGTGGTTGTCTAGATTGGGTTCTGGTTCTGAAACCTGACTTGTAAACAAAAATACTTGTAAACATAACGGCAAGCTCAGAAGCCACAGGTGGCTTCTGAGCAGGAGGCCCAGTGTGCTCTGGAGCTGGTGGGGCAGGATTTGTTCTCAGTCATGGCCTCTTGTTTGTTTTCACTTGGAGGATTTGCTAAGAAATCATCCCAAATCCCCTCTTCAGTACAGCCCTCGCCCTACCACCTCAACCATCATTCCCAAGTCACAGTTGGAGAGAGAGAGAGAGAGAGAGAGAGAGAGACTTCTTCTTGGAAGCTTATTTTGGGAGCCTGCCACTTGTGCATTATGACACCCACCAAATCCACTGCCACTTGAATTTATTCCGACTCAGCTACCCTCCATCAGATGTCTGAGGGTATAAATGTCAGAGACGCACATACACTTAGATCACCAGCCTTTGGATTAGCAGTATAAAACACAACACACTACGCAACCAGGGCTCTTTGTAATTATGATAGTGCTAGGAAAATGGAGGGAGGGGCATCAAAATAAGGTTGTTCATTTGTGGGATTATCAGCTTTGTGAATAATCTAGGTCAGGTGTGTGCAAACTACAACTCTACAAGCAGAATTCTAGCAGAACCTGCCACTGGCTTTTTTAAATAAAGTTTTATTAGAACACAGTCATCCTAGTTTTCCAAGGACCATTTTTTGAACCCTTAGGTGGTGCAAATGATTAATGGGCTCACCTGCTAACCAGAAAGTTGGCAGACTTCACTCAGAAATGCCTTGAATGAAAAGTCTGGTAATCTATTTTTGAGAAATCAGCCAATTAATACCTTGATAAACCCATTTCTACTCTCAACTAAACAAGGCTACTTAGTTGGAATCAAACTGATGACAGCTGGTAAGACAGCAGTTTCCATGATGGCAGAGCTGAGTAGCTGCAACAGATATCATATGGTCTGGTAAGCCTAATATATTTGCTAAATGACCATTTATTTCTCCAACACTATTTCCACCTAGAATAGTACACAGCAATAGTAATAACAATTCCTTATAATTATTGAACTCTGATCACTTATCAAGCCAGCTCCTTTTTAATCTTTCCACTATTCTTTGTTGTTGATATTGTTGTCAGGTGCTGCCAAATTGAGTATAATTCACAGCAACCCTATGAACAATAGATCTGAACCCTGACCAACCTCAATATCTCTGACACACTTGAGCCCACCCCTGCTGCAGTTACTGTGTCAGTCCTCCTTATTGAGAGTTTTCCTCTCTTTAGCTGACCTTCCACATTTACAAGCCATAAACCTTATTATTTTTGCCTCTGAGGAGCACTCTGGATGAATCTTCTCCAAGACATATCTGTTTGGTCTTTTGGCAGTCCATGGGATATTCAATAATCCTCTCATATACCACAACTCAAAGGCTTCGGTTCTTGTTCTATAATCCTTATTGTTCAGCCCTCAGCTGCATGTTGTTGTTGTTGTTGTTATGTGCTGTCGAGTCGCTTGTGACTCATAGCGACCCTATGTACAACAGCCCTAAACTCCGCTCTGTCCTGTGCCAATCGCACTGTCTCTGACACTCCCATCCCAATTATCCCAGTCACTGAATCAATCCACCTCATAGAGGGCCTTCCTCTCCTGCGCTGTCCCTCC